TTTTATAACTGTGATATATCACACAACAGTTTGCGCGTACTTTGACTAATTCCACGGGATACCTGCTACCTCCAACCAGCAACAGGTACCAAATAATTTTGTCCACCTAGTCTTGACCATTAGGCCACACCCTTGGGTGCAGCATACTTCATCTTATATCCCGTGGGGATAGAGTCAAAGTTGCTTGGACACAGGTGCGGGTGTCCGATGCGGGTGCGGATCTAGAGGTTGGATCCTTCGAGATGTAAATTCTGAGATTCGGGGATATGGATCCTAGTACAGATACGGGTGCGGAGATCCGGCTAAAATAATTCAAAAAAATAAAAATATAAAAATACCTTTAAATTATGAGAAATTTTATGAAATACTTACGTATAGCTTGTAAAGTGTGTATTTCTTTTTTTATTCTCAAGTTGTAGATATGACAAGAGGGGTTGCTCTCATGGTAAGCAACCTCCACTTCCTACCAAGAGGTTGTGAGTTCGAGTCTCCCCAAGAGCAAGGTGGGAAGTTCTTGGAGGAGAAGGATGTCGGGGGTCTATTTGGAAACAGCCTCTCTACCCCAGGATAGGGGTAAGGTCTGCGTACACCCTACCCTCCCCAGAACCCACTAAGTGGGATTATAGTGGGTTGTTGTTGTCTCAAGTTGTAGATAAGTAAATGATTGATTTCCTAGATAAAGTATGTTATTTTCTTCAAATTTACTCTAGTTTTGGTTCTGATTTCGGGATTCAAATTGTATCTCGTCTCGAATTTTTCCGTCGACGTGGTCAAAGTACCCAAAATTGTTTGACTAGATCCAGTACGGATCCCATACCCACACCCATACTAGTGTTGTGTCCACACGGGTGCGGCACCTAAACTGTCGTGTAAGAGCAACTTAGGATAGAGTTGATGGTATGGGTTCGGCAGAACCCAATAACTTTGGCCCAAACCCTGTATTTGTCTTAAAAATTTATTTAATATGTACAAATTATTAATTCAGAAACTCAAAAGTGTTAGAATCCATAATTCATAAACTTTAAATCGTGGATCCGCCTCTGCAGTTATATCTCCAACATCAAAACAACGACTTAAACAATAGCTAACCTTAAATCCTAAACAAGTTGAGATCGGCTATAGGAACCTTCTATATCAACTCTGCTATTTTTGGACCTGTTTAATTCAATCTCAAAAAAAGGAGCAAATAGTAAGGTAATTTCTCCCGAAAATTACCTTGACCCCAGAGTCAGAAGATCCAGCGTTGCCATTCTCAGTACCAACGGACTCCAAATTGAGCTTCCGTTTCAAATGATTGGAGTTAGGCGGCGGACGGGGAGGTAGAGGACTCTTGATCTTCAATCCAACGGCCGGGGACAAGTTTGGATCGGACAGGTGATTCATCGGAGGAGCATTTTCTTTAGATGATTTGTTATGCTTTCTGTTACTGTTGCTACTAGGGTTGATAGGTGATGTTGTGAACTTCTGCTTTAAAGAGCTAGGATTTGGAGATGATGGCATTGTAGCTGCGGCCTCGTGATTCTCCCTTAAGATTGTGTTTCTCTGTTGCGTAAAGTGCTTCATTTTTTATTTTTTTTGAAACGGAGAAGGTGAAGATGAAGAAGAAAAGGGGATTAGGGTTTTGAGGGAGAAGAAGTAGCCGTTGGGACGTTGGGTATTTGATGAATTTGAATTGAAATGAGAGGGGAAATGGAGGGTGTAAAGGTATAGAAGAGAGAGTGGGGTAATGATTTGTCTTCTTTTACGGTAAGCTGACTTTACGTATGATTCATCTCAACCTTAGTTCACATGTGGGCTGTGGCACGTGGCTTTATTACCGATTTGTTAACTTCATCGAATCGTACTTGTTTAGTTTTGGAGTAACGATAAAATTGTCTCCTTGTAACCTATAACATATAGTTTACGGGTTCGATGTATGGAAGCAATCACTAACCCTTGCAATAAAATAGACCGTCCAAATCACACGCTTCGGGTGTGACTCTTCTCGGACCTTGCGTGAATGCAAAATGTTTTATGCGCCGGATTGCCATTTTTAAGTTCTTCTTCACCTATTTGATGTGGGATTGAGCGTCATATCTTCACCCACTCGAATGATAGTGCTTTCTCTATTATCTGATTGTCTGATTACAAAACTAATTTGAATAAGATGAGGCTAAACCCAATACACTTTACGAAAAACTTATAACTTTTAAGATCGAGTTAGGTTCAAAATTTGCCTGGATCTCGATTTAACAAATCGTGACCATATTTTTTTCTTTATTTTTTCTCATTACATATGGGATGTGGGGAGGAAAAGGGAAAAGGATAATGGAAATTGAACTCACCTTATTATGTGGAAAACTTTCACGATATCACTAAACAATTGACTAGAGGTGTACAAAGGAAATCGATAAACCGCACCAATTCGATAATTCGAGTCAAACCGAGAAAAAAAATCGGACTATGGTTTGGTTTGATTTGGTTTGGTGTTGGAAAAAATACCCGACCATAATTGATTTGATTTGGTTTTAACTAAAGAAAGTCAAACCGAAACCAAACCAACCCGGAATTACATATATAGAAATTTTATATATATAAATATACTTATTGTGATGTAATTTATAAATATTCCTTAAAAAGTTTCACAATTTTATCTTTTAAGTCTTATTTCAAGGTTGGACTTAGAACTTTTGAATATTCCAATAAGTTTTATAGCCATTAATATTAGTAAATTAAATAATGTTAACAAAAGCCCAAACCAAAATCAAATCAATATTAATGCTAACAAAAGACATTCAATTCAATATTACGAAAGGGAATGTATTGAATATCTATTTTTTATTTTGCAATAATTTAGATAAAAATGCATAACCTATTTTTATTTTTTTAGCGTTTAGTCATGTAAATAATACTCCCTTATTAGTCTACTTATTTTAGCATGACTTAGTACTTTTAGGTTATGTTTATTGTTATTATGGCTTTTTAATTAGCAATATTTATATTACATAATTTATTATCTTTATTGTTGAATATTTTAGGATAATGCCATGGACACATCTCATATTTTGTATTATTTTCTAGGAAAATACTTTATATAGTTGTATCTTACTAGGATTAAAGAAATATTTTGAGCACAAGTTATATGTTTTGTTCTACAAAGATTTTACCGGAAAAAAAAAACCCGAGAAAAATTGGAAAACCTGAAAATCCAAGAAAACCTGAGAAAAACCGAGATTAAAAAACCCGAGTTTTACTGGTTTGATTTGGTCTTTAGATTTAATAACCGGACACAATTGATTTGGTTTGGTAATTATAAAATCCGAACCAATCCGACCTATGTACACCCCTACAATTGACGGTTCTTTATGCATAACCTCAACAGAACGTATAATCTAAACAATTCTTTAATCATTAGTACTTAATATGACACAAGAGGTAAGAGTATACCACATTGTAGGATCCGGACCCGAAATGATTAGTAATTGTTAATACTGTATAGATCAAAATAATGGCCGAAAAATAGGTGGACATAGTTTGGGCAAACCCAAAATCCAAACCGAAAACTGAATTGTTTGGATTTTTGGTTTGGATTTCGGATTTAAATTTTAAATTTTTTGGATTTCGGATTGGATGTTGGATTTGTTTTTTAGATTTTGAATATCCAAAAATCCAAATTTTTTATAATTTAGATTTAGTCTATTTTTCATATGCCAATAATAACAATTCCAATATCCTAACCTTTAGATATAATCTCATATATTCAATACTAATTACTAAGTTACTATCAGAATACTTTCTATTTGGACATGATTCTACTATTGCTACTTCTTATCAGCCTTACTAATGTCTTTGTTGTATTTCCTTGATTTCATTATTTGAATGCTTTATTTGGATGATCGCAGTGAAAATGAAGAATGTTTTAGGCAATTTAACATGAATACTTCATTTGGATGTTCATTATTGTAGAAAGAAGAAACATCTCAATTTATAAGCTCAAAACCGAAAATCCAAAATAGCCAAACCGATTAGTCGAATCCAAACTAAAAAAATCTGATCCAATCCGAGTTTTTTTGCATTGGATTTGGATTGTCATCTCTTCAATCCGAAAATCGAAAATCTAAACCGAAATTTTCATATCTAATCCGAATTGCCCGAACGCCCACCCCCCTCTCTCTTTCTCTCTCTCTCTCTCTCTATATATATATATATATATTGTATGTTATATACAAATTTTATACAATTTTTCTACTACCAAATATAAATAGTTTCTGGCGCGGACTAAAAATAAAAAAGCTCTTTTTAAAAATGACTTTGTTCTGGATCTGAAAATGAGGAAGAAGAAAAAAAAGACAGATCAGATTTATGAAAATGCATATGGATCTTGAAATGGGTCAAGAACAGTCAAAGCCACAGCTCACATGGCTTGTTTCTTTTTTATTCTCATCTTGAAATGGTAGTACTACTATTTATGTTTAAAAAAAAAGTAGGCAGGTGCACAAAACATCTCGCATTAATGCAAGGTTCGAGAAAAAATTGTACCCTAAGAGATATAATATAAACAATCTATTCTAATGCAAGCATTAGTGGGTGCTTCCATTGCTCGAACCCGTGACCTATAGGTTACAAAAATATTTTAAATTAAGAGTTTCTGTAAAACCATTTTGAAAGTAGTATGAAGCTATGACACAATATTAAGCCTTAATAATCAACATGGTTGGTGAAAACTTCCGCTAATATCACTACAACAACATATCTAGTATTATCCCACACCGTGGGGTTTGAGAAGGGTAGTGTGTAAGCAGATCTTACACCTACCTTGTGAGGATAAAAAGGATATTTTCAATAGACCCCGGGCTCAGGACTAATACCACTAATCACTACTTTTTTTCCTTTTTTTGGCAGGATTGGTTTTTTCTCCATACAATTTTAGAGGGGCTCAAATTGCTAACATGAGAATGTAACCAACTCATCCACTTTTACTATCCCTATTTTTCTTCTTTCTTATCAACCAATTCAGAATATTGGCACCAAGAAATCTGAAACTGCTTTTACTGGCTAACTTGCTTTCCAGTTTCTCAGAAACTAATAAAACATAGTGTTCAAGAAGAGTACAAGTGAACATCATTCTGAAGTTGTCTAAAGTTGGTAAGAGTACAACAAGGGCCTAAACTGATCCACTCAACATCATTTCAAGAGACCTAAACTTCTGATTTTGCAGAAGCTGTTGAGTTCACACGCCGCAATTGAAACTCCTTCAAGATGTCACTGAAAACCATGGGAGTCCTGATTGAAGGCATTGTTTGGTTTCTGCCATTGGAACAATGGGGCCTAGAAAAAGGCGCCATAAGTCGAGTAAAATTGTGACGAGCATTGCAGCACCCAAAGCATCAATGGACACTCTTGGCAAGTCCCACGAATCACCAGGTTTCTCATCAACCCTGTGCATTTAAGCAAACAACCATCAACAGAATTCACAAATGATAGTTACAAAGCATATAGTAGTTAAAATGCAGGAGTCCTGGACCATAATGATTAACGACAGTGGTGTAATACAGGGGCGGACGCACGTGGTGACAAGCGCTGAACCCGCTTCATCAAAAAATAATACTGTATATATGTATAATTTATGATTAAAGCTGCGTAAATTTTGTATAAATATTTTATTTGAACCCACCTGACAACTATTATTTTACGACTAAAGTTATATACTTCTAAGATTAAACCCGCTTGCACAAAATCCTGGGTCTGCCACTGGTGTAATATGATACATATTTAAAGTTAATCCATATATGGTTAGAAGAGTGTTTGTGTTGCCTATGGTTCTAGAAAACCACTTTTAAAAGCAAAGCTTAAAAACTTCCAAGATTTTACTTTAGTGGAAGTGTAGAGTTTCTTTTTTCAATAAATAGTTATAGAATTTTACCAACTCTAAACAAGTATGAAATTTCACATTTCTGTTTGTCCAACATTGTAAATTCTAAAAGCGCCTCAGACGGTTAATAAAAACAAGTTAGAGCACTTCCACTTGGAGCATACCTTCTATCTCAAAAACTATAGTATACCAAATCTCACTGTCAGCTGTCAAATTTTACACTAGAAATCATGCTGAAATATTCATGAATGGCCCCTCTAGAAAAGATTGAAAAGAGCTACTAGCGCCGCTAAAATAAAGATCAGATGACTTTAGAAATCCCTTTAAACACTTGCAACAACATCAATCAACTCAATAATGCACTCATCTGTTTCGTCCTCAAATTGCAAGATCAGTTGGCCAAGAAAATCTTTGAAGCCGTTACAGAAATTGAGAGTCAGATTATGAGCATCTAACTGCTTAACAAAACCTGAGGCAAGCTTAACTTGAGAGCGGATGTTCCTTTCAGCAAATGACATTATTACCTTTTTTATCTGAAACCTTTTCAAAATAAATATCGTAGAACTGAATTTTGCTTGCTCCAGCATTATACACCTTGAGGTGATTCTATCGAATATTACAACGTATGTTAAACTTAGCTAGTCCGCGGACTGAATTCATCCACCTTGTGTTGCTCATAATCCTTTCGACATATTTGTCCTCATTTTCCACTCTAGTTTAGAACTGGTTAGACTATTGCACTTAAACGATAAAAATGTATAGAAGTTTAAAAGACATTGTAATTATACCGTAAATAAACGACATCTGCACTAGGGGAATTTCAGAGGCAGGAATTGCAGGGAAAGAAGTTCTTACCTGAAAAACATCGGATAGCTTACAATGAAGTAGATCGCGTAAAACAACGAGCCAACTTTATACATAATAGCTCGGTCCACGAAGTCATAGTACGGAAACTGCAGAGGTCAGAAACAAACAAGTGATGTTTTAAACCTTATTTATATATCACAAAGGCATCTGATAAGGCTGCTATATACCCTTACATAAGATATTTCTGGACTCACAAAATTGACCACTTACATTGGAAATAGCTAAGGTTTCCAAATAAGCTATAAAATAAGCATATGCTAGAATCCATCCTGCCCTGAAAGCCCACTGAATATTCTCGGGCAAATCAGCAATAGCATGCTGTAGCCTGCGAAGGGTCATGTTTGCCGAGACATGGTAAAACAGGAAGCAAACATGTGCTAAAAGGAAAGTTGTATGGGGTACCTGCACAGAGTTACACGATAAAGCTTTTAGAAGATGAAAAATCCAAGTAAAGGATGGGGCAAAATTCCGAACAGGTGGCTTACATTATTCATCTTCCAAGACGGAAATGTATAAGAAGCACCCAAAACTGTGAAGAAATAGTGGGTCCAAAAGTAGTTCCCAACATAAGTGAAAATTGCTATCCAGAGATTAGCCTGGAATAACAGCAAATCAATAGTCAGTAGTCCATACAAGAACCAAAAGAGAGGATCGTAAAATCACGAAATAAGTAGCAAGGAAATTTCTTGTCTATGCCGCATTAGTCAACTAAAGAATCCGAAATAAATTAACCTGTGCCAATTTTAGTGATTGTCTTTTAGCACCAATGCTGAGTGTCATAAATCAAGAAAGACAACCCAATTTCACAACAAGCTATGGCCACAAAAAAATGATCTCTTGTCTTTTTCTTTCACTAATATTTATCTTTTTTCTCCACGAGAATTTTTCCAAACCGAGTCATGAAAATTGAATCTAGAAACCAATCATAATAGAGGCTTATAGTTGAGTCCTTAAAATTGCAAAAAAGAAATTGATATTTCTTCCTCAAGAACACTTGCCTTTACCCAATAACGATCCTTCCAAGGAATGCTCCTGTCAGCCTGCAAAAGTTACACATAATAATAAGCCTTCATCTGACTAGTTTTTCGAACAAATACTATAAAGCTCATCTTTTTAACTATGTTGATTTAACTAGTTATGTATATCATCAAGAATAAACAAGAAGAAGTTGCACTGAAGAGCTTGGCGAATTACTGGAAAAGGCTCATCATTCAAATGCAACAGTTTGCACATGATAATATGGACTCATAATAAGTCATTTTATCTCTTACATTTAACACAAAAATTATGAGTAACTTATCTCCTTTTTTATCAAAAATGAGCAATTTGTCTCCTTCATTAAGCACAGATCCATAATGACCTAATTAAGTACAGTTTGATACGAGAAAAGGTGACAAAACGATAAAGATGTAGTAATTTGATAAGAAATATTGGTTGAAAAACTCAAGTTGCAGCTGATTTGAATAAATAACAACTGGAAATTTTTACAGGTCTAGTTATTGTATTGTTGATTCACCAACAGAGCATCGGTAGTAGGAAAAATGAGACAGAAATTCACCTTTCCAACAAATATCACGGGTACAAAGAAAGCAGGAAGTGCAGAAATAAGCCCCAGCAAGAGGTACTCCCACTCTGTAAAATTCTGTCACAATAAGCCACTTAGTAAGTTACAAATACTTGATTTTATAACGGGAAGCGGATTGTAAGTTACAATTACTAAGCATGCAGTATCTTAGCAAGAGAAAACACGAAAATTCACTATAAAATACACATACACAGAGAGAGAGTAGCACAACAACTAGTAAACCATCAGATATAACTTTTAAGCCAAGTAGCCACGGGAGTGAGTAGGACTAATCATATTAGTAAAACAACGATTTAAACTTTTAAAGAAAACTTTTGCATCATTCAGCAGCAGAAGCTTAACTAGAAGAAGGATAGTTCATCAGAAGAGACTGGGAAGCCATTTAAGCAACAGTAAGGAGTTGGTCTGTAACACACACTCTCTCACCGCCCGCCAATTAACAAAGCCTATCAAATAGGAGAATGAGTCGCTCTTTTCTTGAAAAGTATCGACTATAACAGTATCAGCAGAATAACACAATTGGGACATGCTGACCTCTACACAGGGGTTGTTACACCAACACATATATATGGTGCCTAGTAAAATAGGAAGTCGTCGGGGTGCCTAGAAGATAAGGATAACGCATTGGTTCTTACAGCATTCCCCACAAGCAAACAAGAAACGAAGTCTTTACTATCTTTAATTACATCTGAAGTTTCAACATCTCAAGATGCCTCATAGAAATTTATAAGGTTTGACTAACTTTCATCACAAGTTGAATCCTGCAAAATTTATGGCTGCTCACTAAATTTTGCACATTGCTCGTTCCTTCTGTAGGCCATATGACAATCTATCAACTGTGTCTCAATTCCAATCAAGTTGGGTTGGCAGTATGCATCCTCAATACACTCAAATCTTTTTTTTTTCTTTTTGTTGATAAAATCCATACACTCCAATCTAACTGGCTAATTTCATTCCAATAGGCAATAGTAATAGGGAAACTTTACTTCCCTTTATGCAACCCTTTTCTCTGAATTCCCTACTCTCCTTTCCCTGATAGGGAAGACAATTTTTACAAAAATCAACAAGGACTGAACAAGCACATTTCGAAGTCACAGTTTAAACAGACAAATAAAATCTACAACCTTCGGAAACTCGCAAAGTTTCTAAGCATTTTTTAAGATGCAAGTAAATAAATAAAAGTGCTTCCTCTCGAAAGCTTAAGTTTTTAGATGAGACAGTCCACTGTATTCAATGGCATTCTCATCTAAGGTGGATTCATGATTTAAACTTGAGGGGTTCAACATTTTAAAATTCTGAGCACTAAAATTACGGGTTTCAAAATGTAATACATTGGTTAAATTTAGAGAGTTTTCGCACATGCGCACACACACATATAATATATACTATGTATCTACATTTTGTGTCAAGAATACTGGGTTCGGTTGAACCTGTAGCTAATAAGTTACATCCATCACTGATTGCACACATGTTACACACCTCGTAGAGCTTATACGGGACGACAACACCAAGGCACAGGGTGAGCCAAAAGGGAGTGTAGAGCAGAAAGAATACTTCACCCCATCTCTTGCTAGGGTTTTGAGCTAACCACAGACTGGAAGTTGAACTAGTCACTTTACTACCTGGAGAAAATCCATTATTACATCAGAAACAATAAAAAAAATTAAAAAAAAAAACTTTCAAACCAAAATAACTAAATCCCAAGTAGGTAAAATCCCAAAACTTACCTTCCATTTATTTCCACAGCTTAATTGTCAAAAAGAGCTTCCTCCTCACTCAAAATTTGAACTTGGCGAAAACCCAAAATTTATTAGCTGTGTCACAAACTAGAACTTGCCCCTAAACTCATAAACAACAATATGGCAAATCAAATTGTGAATAACCTAAAACCTGCACACACAAATAAAAAACAAATTAAGAAATAATCACAACCCACATTCCAAAATTTAATCTTTAATAATAACCTCCAAGAATGAAAACAAATGTTGACCTACCAATTAAATAAACATTTTACAGTGAGTTAAAAGTAGGATTTTTTTTCCCAAAAGATTTTATTTTAAAAAAAAAGGAGCTTACTCCTCACTCAAAATTTGAACTTGGAGAAAATCCAATATTATTTAGCTTTATCACAAACTAAAACTTGCCCTTAAACTCTAAAACAACTATATTGCAAATCCAAATGTGAATAACCTAAAACCTGGAAAACTATACAAATTAAAGAAATCATCACTACCCACATTCCAAACTATAATCGTTATATAAAACCTCCTAGAATGATAAAACCAATGTTGACCGACCAATTAAATACACAATTTATACTTAGTTAAAAGTAAGATTTTTAAAATACAGCAATCATAAATTCAATTCACGAAAAAAGAACATTAACTTTTTTGCATTTAGCATCAAAAAGTAGAAAAAGAGCAAAAATAGAAGAGAATGTACCTAAAAAGAGGCCACTGATCTGTGATGAAGAAGAGATTAAGAAGAAGACTGAAAAGAATAATATAACAGAAAAAAGGGGCAATCTTTTTTTTAATCTATATTTTTGGACGTGCTCTTTTGTGTTTTGCTCAGTGTAACTCTGTAAAGACAGCTCAGTTTATGATTAAAGAAAGGAAACTAGTGGATCTACAGTAGGTTGGGCATAGCATTGCAAACCCGAAATTCAAATCGAAATTAGAAATTCGGATATTTAAAATTTAATTTTTAAAATTTTTGGATATTGAGTTTGGTATTTCGAATTTTTGAATATCCAAAATTCTTATACTTTATATTTAGTCTATTATACGTATCTCAATAGTAATAAATTCAATATCCTATCTATTAGATATTATTGTATATATTCAATATTAATTAAGTTATTGTGAAAATACTTTCTATTTGGACATGTTTACTATTTCGCATTTTTTATCGGCCATATTAATGTCTCTACTGTATCTTTTTGATAATAATTGCATTACTTGAGTGTTTCATTTGGATAATTATGGCGAGAATGAGTAACTTTTCATGCAATTTAACATGAGTACTAATTTGGATATTTATTTTTGTAAAAAGAAGAAACTTTTCAACTTACAAGCTCAAACCAAAAATCCAAAATATCCAAACCGATTAATCCAAAATCGAACTTAAAAAATATGATCCAATCCGAACATACTTTTGTTATATCTTCAATCCGAAAACCGAAAATCCAAACCGAAATTTTCATATGCAATCCGAACTACCCGAACACCCACCCCTAATCTACACAAGGGAAAAAAAGGTTTAAATACATTATAATTTTTACACAGTCACATCATCTTTACTAATACCAAATGTAACAGATAACTAATTTTATTTTCAAAGTTAGAAATCTCTTTTTTTAAGGGAATTTACCGTGGATATTCTTTAGGTGATAGAAATTTACCGCAGGTGTAAAAAATATTCTTTGCATTAACAAGTGTATCAATATAGATAGATAAATTAGAATAAATTACACTACCATCAGAATGTCAGTTTAGTGTTTTCGAAGAATTAACTTAAATAATCGTTTATCCAAACGCTTAAATTTAAAATAGCCGGCGAATATATATATATACTCTTTTCGTTCACTTTTAGTTGTCCATTATACTAGAATATATTTTTATTTTTATTTATCCACTATATTAAATCCAGAGAAAGACAATCATTTTTCTCTGTTTTACCCTTATTATTAATTATTCATTCCCCAAATCATTTTTCATAACTTTTGAAAATACTATCATTATTATGAGTAAAATTGTAAAATATATATGTTTTATTTATTATTTCTTAAAGGGCGTGAAAAATTCAAAGTGGATAACTAAAAGCGAATGGAAGGAGTGTGTATATATATATAATCGTGTGTGTGTGTATATATATATATAATTATTGTATAATTTATATATACTTGCTAAAAAATAAACAGAGAATTAGACCAGTTAATCAAAGTAGTTCTTTTAATTTTGGGATTTAACGGAATGATAGCAATGGCACAAAATAATTCTCAAATTAAGCTAAACCATACCATATAGTGACATCTGAAAATGAATTCTTCCCCAAATGATTTTCACTTCTCAGTGGCACCATGAGTTAGGTCTCCATTTAATGCACGGCTATAGATTTTATTGGTTCAATTCATCCTAACCAATCATTGGAAGGACCTTCAAAATCATAAATTTTGAGAAACCGCTATTATTTAGTGGCTATTAATTTTCAGTAGCTACCTTATATATAATTACTTTCTATAGTTACTATTCATTTATTACGGTAGTATATTCGCGTTGTTGTATTCATGAATATAACAACAAAAAGCACCTAAAAATCAGTGTAGTCTAGTTGTACGGGCATGTATTCACATGTATTCGCACCATGTATTCATGAATACAGTAGCAAAAACGCCTAAAATCAGGCAATCTAGCTGTATGCGCATGTATTCGCGCTGGTGTATTCATGAATACAACAGTTAAAAGCGCCTAAAACTAGGGCAGTCCAGCTGTACGTGCATGTATTCACATGTATTCGCACCATGTATTCATGAATACAACAGCAAAAAGCGCCTAAAATCAGGGCAGCCCAGCTGTACGCGCATGTATTCACATGTATTCGCACCATGTATTCATGAATGCAGTAGCAAAAACACCTAAAATCAGGCAGTCCAGCTGTATGCGCATGTATTCGCGCTGCTGTATTCATGAATACAACAGTTAAAAGCGCCTAAAACTAGGGCAGTCCAGCTGCACGTGCATGTATTCACATGTATTCGCACCATGTATTCATGAATACAGTAACGACAATCACCTTAAAAATAGATATGTCCAGCTGTCTAAGAGAGAGGAAAAACATAAATAGCGTATTTCATGCCTCAATGGTAGTATATACTATAAATACTTATTTTGCTATAAAATAAAAAGCAGTTATAGAAAATAATATTTTGAAATAATTTTGATTTATAATAAAGAAGGTGTATACCTTCGCTATAGGAGGTAAAATTCCCATCAATAAAGTCAGTGCTATTTAAAAATTGGCCAATTTTTTAAAAATATTTAAGTTTTAGCCTGAAGATGGCAACTTCAAACAAACACTGCTGCTTTACGAAGATGGTGCTTTAGATAAATATGTAATTTGGTTTTACTTTCTTCTCTCTCTTTTTTTTTTTTTTTTGGATTATGATTGCTTAAGTCTCATGTTTGAAGAAAAGATATGGGTGGGTTATAAGGTGGATAAGCAATTGAAACTACTCGTTTTGATGCAAATCGAATTACTGAAGTTCAAACTTTAAACTTAAAATTTCAACTTCATTCTATAGTGGCTAAACATTAAATGCATTGTAAATTTCAACTTTCTTTAAATAGCAGTATTCCAGGTGGCTATTTGTGCCCTTACCCCCTTTAAAATCAGAGTGGTTGTAATTTTAATGTTTCGGCCTATGGACCAGTCCAACCAAGATAATGAGGCCAATAATTAAATAAAGTTAGAACCCAAATGATTAATGGGCTAGGAAGATTTTTATCTTCCTATACACTATTTGAAGTAAAAATTGCAGGATAGTGATTTTTATAGTCTTCTTCTTCAGTCCTCTCGTCGTATGTTAAGCTAACGTGCGCCGATCTCGGTTATGGCTGGAAAGAAGGCTCGAGGTAGACCTAAGAAGCAACACATTAAGGTAGATGACAAAATTCCGAAGCTAAATACTATAGGAAGGAACTCATCAGTGGTTATGGAGTCCATTTCTGGAGCTTCAAAGATGCAAACTAGATATGTTAATCTCGCACAGATCCATCATGGAGATGCCTCAGGATCAACTAGTCAACGACAGAAAAAGGCAAATCAAAGCCCAATCCCCATGCATGTCGACCTAAGGGGTAGTGTCACACCTCCCTCTACTCGAGCCACTACTGTTCCATTGAAGAGCAAGGAACGGGAAGTTGTATCTCAAGCTCCTCTACCAGTAGCAGCCACTATTCCATTACCGGAGGTACCTAAGGAGTCTATTTGAGCCGGAGTACTAACAGGTAACAGATCTGCTGCTAATGGTATGACATTGAGCTACATAACTCCTAAAAATGTAGAAGGAAACCTAGTGGCTAAGCTTGAAAAAGTAGAAATTGAGAAGGAAAACTTGAAATGGAAGAGTGCCTTAATAGTATATGTGAGCACGTGATTTTTGCCCTATGAGAATTACTCCCAGACATTCAAAATAAAACAATTTTCCTTTGTGTGCAATTTTGAGAATTTTCGTGGCATTTTTGGTTAATTATTTGTATTTGTCTGTGCGTGTTTATTTTGTTTTAATTAATGAAAAATACAAAAATTACATGTTTCATGTGCATTTAGGATCTAATTTTTACAGATAGGATTAATTAAGTAACTCGTTTTACGAAAATGAAAAAAATCACAAAAAATAATGTACTTTGCATTTTTTAGCATTTGATGTCGAATTGTGTGATTTTATTGTTAATTGGTATTTAATTATATGTGATAAATGTTATTAGAAGATAATTAGTATTTTTAATTTGGGTTTGTAATTTAATCTAAAATTTTAGTTAGGAAATAAGAAAAAAAAAAGAAACAAATAAGAAAGATGGGAAGTGAAATTCAGACCAGGCCCATGCCAAAATGACCAAATCCAGCCCAAAACAACTCCATACCCGGCCCAAATCGTCAAAATCTCACAGACATGCAAAACGACGTAGTATGGTGATGGAACTACGTCGTTTCAACGTCAATCGATCCCAGCCGTCTATCTAGCCCTCATCCAACGGACACAACTCAGTACCCATATCCAAAAGCCAAACCCGACCCGTTTACCAGAGATTGATCCGGTCTCAAAAGTGTCTAAACGACACCATTTCGTTAAGTGAGTTGATCTGAGCCGTTGATCTTAATTGATCCAACAGCTGGGATTCAACCTCTTGCCCAGTATATAAATGATCCAAACGAACCCCACCCCCTTAGAGCCCCCACCCCACTCTCGTCTCTAGAAACTCAGAGACAGCCCTGTCTCTCACCACCTTGCACCGCCGCCCTCCGCCCACCGGAAATCGCCTCACGGCGGTTCCGGTGGCCCAAATCGTCTCAAAGTTACACCCTAGCCTCCCTTCCACCTCCTCATTCCAATTCCACACTCCATTAACCTCGAATCATCCTATAACTTCTCGAATCTTCGATGGAAGATCCCCGTCCCAAACCCTAGCCTGTCCGCTTAACCCCAAAATCACACTCAATAATCCCCTTGACCTCCTCGTTGCTAATCCCTAACCAAATTGGCTCGAATCCGAGTAAAATTCGTCGAATGGCGAATCTAGGGTTCAACGGTTCGAGACTGTTTCGAAGCTGTCAGGGTTGAATGGGTTCTGGTTAGTATTATAAGCCTATTTCTGACGAAATAGACGTATAATGCTAACTGGAACTCAAGTTCGAAAGGGCATGTTGGTGGGATCCGAGAAAAAAATAGTAAGTTCTTCTTAGCTTCTTCTTTTCCTTTTTCTATATGTTTATTTGTCTGTGTTAAGTTGTAATTAGTCGCTTCTTTAGGTTTTCAGTTTAAGTTAATTCTTAATCCAGTAAATATTCCGCCTCTTTTTC